GGTAACTCCTGCAGTATCTTTATCCCGTTCTGTCGGCGAGCTAAGCCGCTCTCTCCCAGCACTGCGCCTGGTGTAGGACGTGCTTGACCCACAGCGGGTTTTTTTTTCTGCTAGAGACAGTGTGTGGGAAAAGCCCGGCGTACCCTCAGGCAGGCACAGGCGGTGATGCTGAGCTGTCAGGTTCCTACTTGCCTGTACCATTAGGTATCAACGATTGCACCCCGTTCTTCGTGCCCAAAGCGAGACTTGGAAAACGTTCAAGGTCCCGCGTGTCCTTGGGTGCACGCTCTGCCGGGAGTCCATGTGGGGACGACACCTTGGCACGCACCACGCTCCCTCCCCTCTGCCCGCTGACCTGCGGCGAGGCTCAGCGCGGAGCCGTGACGCACCCGCCAGGCCTCTGCACTTCAGAGACAGCCTTAAGCCGTGTCTGTTGACAAGCAGCTTGCCTCTGACCGTGGCTAAAAATGCACACCCGGAGGAGAGGCTCCCGGTGAAAGCTGGGGCTGTGTACCCATTCCTGTACTCCAGGCTGCTGGTGGTGGGAGAGGTAATATGTCCGACACCCTTTATGCAGTACCCGAGGCTGTATAACTTACAGGAGATCCACTTTTCCCTGCTGTCCGCAGCTGGGGTGAAGCATGTTCATTCCCTGTTACAGGAGGGGTCTGTGAGGCAGGCTGGGGCAGGATGCTTCCATTCCTCCTGTTGAAGCCAGGCCAGGATGCCAAACGGCAGGATTGAAGCTTCACGGAGCTACGGGAAGAGCAGCGTACGTGCCTGCGAGCTGGCAGAGTCGAGCTCATAATTAGAGCACTCATGAGAAAAAGGGTTTCCAGAGCTTGTGCCAAGTACTGATTCTGTGTATTACTCGGGGCAGGATTTGAGGTTTCCCCCTCTTTCTGGTGTTGCCTGTTGACTAGGCAGCACCTCCCTTGCTCTGACGAGCTCTCCGAATCCCTGTGTGAGGGTCCCGACTTCCCTGTGCATGAGACTGGCCTAGGTGCCAAAATCAGGACTCGAATTCCGAGCAGCAGCAGCAACCGCCACTTTGAATGCAGGTGGCCCAGGACTGCAGGCCCAAACAAGGCTATACGTGTAGTATGATACCCTATAGCATAGGATTTGTCACATGGGGATGGCATCTGCCAAGTTTCTCCTAGATTTGGGGTTGCAGGGAGGGCATCTCCGGCTGCTGCCGGGCTCCTCGGCTGCGGAGGCTGATGCAACTACAGACCAGGCTGCGGTGTGGTGGAGCCGCTCACCTGGCTGTGAAATCCCTGCAGGGAGCAAGGTGGGGGCTCTCGGCCAAAAGCAGTGCTGGGAGGTAGGAGATGAGAGGAAGGGGAACCAGAATGCTCTTCACCTTACCCAAAAGGTAAGGGCCCTGGCGCTGCAGCCCTCATCTTTAAAGCAAAAAGTCTTAAAATAAAGTCTGTGTCTGCTCTTTGCCTGAGATCCTAGAAGCTCACCTCTTGTGTGCTGTTGCTGGATGACACAAGAAACCTTGAAGTTTGCACCTTGTTCTTCTCAAGTTTAATGAAGAGTTTAAGCTCTTCCCCCGCCCTTACTGTGCTGAGGCATCACCCTTCCTGAGAGGAAGGTGTTCTTTTTTTTTTTTATTTTATTTTAAGCACCTTGAATATTAATTGCTGAGCTGGTGTTCTCTATTGCAACATTGCACCAAGAGAATCGCTTCCATGTTCACCACCCACTGCTGAAGTGCAAGCTCAGGAGTCCGCTTGTTCCTCTGCATACACCAGCACCACGGTGTCACAGCGCTGGCAGCAGACATTATCCCAGCAAGTTACAGGTCGTTTAACTTGGACTGTAAGGATCTCGGAACAGTGACCTTGTACTTGCCTTACGGCCACAGACATTGCAAAAATAACAAATGGGTCTTGTGTTTGGAGTTTCAATGTTCAGGTTGCTGGTCTGGCCCCTGTTCTGCAGAACAATTCAGTCCATGCAGAACATTTCAGTGCTTTGGGGACAAAGAACTTGTGCAGTTCATCAGTCATCTTAAGCTAGAGTCTTCCTGCAGGAGTCCCCCTTCAACCAAGGACTCTCAAGCCACCTACCACAGGCCTGAAAGCATTTTATTTACAGCCCAGGCCTTCTTTCACCCAACCTTCCCTGGGCTCTCAAAAGAAGACAGAAGTTCTTTTTCCTTCCTGGGACATTACTGACTTTAAAAGCTGTCAGATCTGTGCTGCAGCTGGGCCGTAGCACATCCCGTGCAGGTTAGGCTATGCCTGACTCCCCGTAAAGAGCTGGATACCCCATGACCCTGGGGACAATGAGATTTAGACAATACTCCGGCTTTGTTTGCAGCTTGGCAGGTGTGTGACTGAACTTAGACTTCATCCTGCTGTAACAGATGTAAGCTGCTCAGAGGTTTAGGGTAGATTTTTGGCCCCGGATGCATTGCACCGAGCTTGTCCCTTTCAACATCCTTCCTCTGATTCAGGTCAAGCGATGGGCAGCCTAGGCTCTTGCTAATTGCTTCTTAGCAGGAGTAGAATAACTCCCCGTTATTCCTTTGGAGAGCCCCGCAGGAGCCACGTTCATCCGTGGCACGGCAGGGGCTGTGCAGAAGGCACTGCCTCTGCATGGGCTTCCCACCGCCTGGCTAGTGCTGTGCCGGGAGGGAAGGGCAGGGGCGTGCATTTGGGGGCAGAGCTGTGCGGGGCGTAGGGCTCGTGGCTGTACTCAGCTGCTGACGGCATCCCTGAGGTAGCAGAAAGCACCGTGTACTTCTCTCCAGCTGCAGCACTTAACTATGGGTTGTACCTACCCCAAAAAGAGGCGAGGAGCTCCCTGTGGAGCTTTCATTAAAAGCTCTATTGATTTCTTCGAGTTTCTGCATGGCTGCCTGGCAGCTCTGGACCCTTCTGTAACCAGTACAGAGCACGCTTTCGTTCCTGCTCCCCATCCCTGACAAGCAGCCATGTCAGGGTCCTGCTTAGGGATTTCATCTTTGGGCCTGCTTCCCTCACTATTACGTGGCATTTCTTCTACTTCAGCAGTACTTGGCTTCTTGACAAGAATTGTAAACTAAGAAGGGCTGCAGAAACTGAAATGCTTTAAACGCAGTTGCCCTAGAAAGACGTTCATGCTTGTGAGCCCAAGCTCACACCTCAGCTTGAGGAACTCGTGGTACTTTAAACTTTAGCTAAAAGGATGGAGATGGAGGTGGGGAGAGACATCCTACATCCAATTTAAATTCCCAATTTACAACTTCCTTAGGACTGTTCAGAGGCACTATTCCACTGGTTTACACATACAAAACATATGTGAAAGCAAGTATTTTTTAGTGTCTTTAAAAGTACCCGTTTTCCAAAAGACAAGGACGTGAGGCTTCTGCTGCAGCATCTTTCTTTTCTCTTTTGCTCCTTCTAAGTATGTTTATCGCACTGTTAGGGCTTCCATCTTCCTGCCTTCCCCTCTAGCCAGGTCTGTCACTATCATATGTCTGTCACCAGCTCTTAGGGTGGGTGATGCTGTAGTTCAGGCTAGCAAAGGCTGAACATGCAAGTGTGTTGGGTAGCACTCCAAACCTGCCGCAAGATGTGAGCGCAACATGACAAGTCTCTTCTGTTTTTAAGTAACTCAAAGGTACAAATAAACTTACTTAAATACTGCTGTGGGCCAACAGCAATGCAACAGTGAAGTTCTTTTGCTCAAAATTGCCTTTGCAAAATGCATTCAGAGTAAATAAGTTGAGACAACAGTGAATCTCTGTCAGCGTTGCCTCTTGTGCAAGTGGCTGCGGTGCAAACGCTGCCCTTCCTGCCCGTGTTTGAAGGGAAACCGAGTGTCCAGGCACGCTACTTGGGCAGAGCGCCGAGCGTGGAAAAGTGCAAATGCAGCCTCCTCCCAACTACTCCCCACGCCTTGTGGCAAGGCTGGCGCTTCAGAGCAAAACCCTCCCCCTGAGGAAGCCTTGGAAGAGCCCTGGGGGCGTGCGCGGCCGTGCCAAGGACTTGCCGCGGAGATGCGTAGGAATATCATGAACCCTGCAAACTCCTCCACAGCTACCCTGAAACAACACTGTGTCCTGGGTGTTTGCAGTAAGCAAGCCTCAGGGCAGTTACAGCTGCAGGGTGGTACTGGTTGTGCTCTTGCGAAGTGGGAGGAGGAGGCATTTTATAGCACAGTAGTCGTGAGGGCTGCTGCCTGAAAGGGATGGCTCTGCTGCTTGACCCCTGCTAAGGGAAGAGGGCTGCAGCCACCTCCTGCGCGTAAGCCAAAGGGCAAAACAGAGTGGGGACACACACACACACCCCCCTCCCGTGGCAGCTGTGACCCTATGTGGGATGGGGGGTACCGCCCTGCAGGAGAGACGGGGCCAACTGCTGGGGGACAGGTGCTTGTTTGCAGGACATGTGCTTAAGATGGCCAAAGGAGCAGGAGGTCCCTGGGGCCCGGCGAGGACTGCAGGAGCGCAGGGTGTGCTGGAAGCTGCCGAGCTGGGGCACGGCGTGAAGGGGCGAGGAGCCGAAGGGAGAAAGGAGGGTGGGGGGAATGAACGTAGGGGCGTGAAGGGGAGCTGGAGAGACCCCCTTCCCCACTCCACATCCCGAGGTCTAAGCCAGCAGAAGCATCTGGCCGTTCCGCGCTCATGCAAACGTTGCTGCTTTTGGGGCAAATGAAGCTGTGATCAGAGATTCCTATTAAATATTAACCTGAGGGAATGAGTCACCCTGCTTGCTGCTCTGCAGGGGGGAGGCCTGCAGCCCGGAGGCGTCCCAGATCGGCACAGGGTACCGGGCCATGCAGAGTGCTGGCTCCGCTAGAGACAAATGCTGCACGTGAAATAAGGAGCAGGCAGTACTTGTCTACCTGCTGGGCTCTCTCCTCTCTGAGGAGGGAAAAAGTACACTCTATTCTCTTTCCTACAACACGTGCAGAAGTTAATCTTAGCCCTGCTATTCTGGGTGAAAGACATCTTTCTTAGAAGACATCTGCACGATGTCTTAAACCCGACCACTTGCATGCTGCAGAGGTTAGCAGCCCCTCATAATAAGCAAAACACGATGAGGCTGTGGGCAGAACTAACCCTATCTCTGCATCCTTCTTGCTTTATCTCAGATTCAGAAACAGGCTCCTGCACAAACCACAAATTGCTGGCACTGTAACAAGGTTATCTGTAAGGCACCTAAGTGGTGAGAAGAGTCATGGTGGACATCTCTAACACCGTTTTTTCCTTTCCAGTGTGTTCCATGGGAAACAGCACCAGCCGGCTCTACAGCGCGCTCGCCAAGACGCTGAGCAGCAGCGCCGTGTCCCAGCACCAGGACTGCCTGGAGCAGCCGGACTCGGCACGGCTGGATCCTATAGACCCCAAGGATTTGCTGGAAGAATGTCAGATCGTTCTGCAGAAACGGCCACCCCGGTTTCAGAGGGACTTTGTGGACGTGAAGAAAGACGTTGCCAGTAACCACCGCCCCATTCGGGTCATGCAGTGGAACATCCTTGCCCAAGGTAGGAGCTGCCTCTTAAGCTCAAGGTGTGACCTTGAGGTCAAATGCAGCAATGAAAACCTCTGAATGCAGATGTGCCTACGTAGTTAGGCATGCCTGGAACCGGGAGAGCAAAGGGAGAGAGGTGAATTACGTGAGGCACAACTGACTGAGGGCCGGCAGGGGAGATTTCCAGCGCCTGAAATAGTGGCTTGCCTTCCGTTCTATAGGAAGGGAAAAAAGGTCTCTCCTCCCAACTGGGATGCTAAAGGCAGCTCCAAATGCCTGTCTTAACTGAACACAGTATATTCAAAAAGCTGTGACCCATCACTTTTAGATAGTTGTTAACCCCCAGAAAAGACTCATCCTTCCCTAAATTTTATTCTTTGTAAAGCTGCTCTACAGTTTTCTAATTTGTTTATCGGTGAACTACTCAGGGATTCAGATCTGTTTTGGGAATTCTTACTTCTTCAAAATAATTTTAACTGATTTTTTTTCTCAGACCCCTAAAATCAAGGCTGCAAATTGACTTATGCAACAGCCTCATCTTAAAATCTTTTGGGTGGGCAATCCCCCACGTAGGGACTGCCTTAACATTCTGCAGTTAAGTCACTCCTGTCCCGCTGCATTTTTTCTTAGGCTTAAGCTGTGGCAGCCACACGTGGAAGCACTTGCCACAGTGTAGTGACTTTTGGGAAGAGGGGGAAAAAGTCTTTAACCTAAGTTGTATCTGTAAAGGGAACTTCATGTTTTTGGAGAGACTTCAGTGTTTTGTGAAGGGGTTCTCACACCCCTTGGCAAGCCTGGCACTCTTAAAGTCAGCAGCTACTCCTGAAAAACCCATCACCTGCACGTAAACTGATGTACAGGCGTTTTACAGAGAAAGCAGAATGTTCGAAAGCCTCATGCCGCTTCCCGTTACAACCTCTTGCACTGTGACAGACCGCCTGCTCCCGTGCGGGGCTGCAAGCAGCCGCTGGCTGCTGCAAGGTGGCAGCTGGCTCCCAGGAGCAGAGCCTTGCCTCTGGCCTCTGCAAAACCTGGAGGAGGACAGCCCATTTTAGCTATCGGTAACTTCTTGGGTTTTTTTTCTCCCCCTCCCTGCCGATTTCAGCTCTCGGAGAAGGCAAAGACAACTTTGTTCAGTGCCCCATGGAAGCTCTGAAATGGGAAGAGAGGAAGTGCCTCATCCTGGAGGAAATCCTCGCGTACAAGCCTGACATCTTGTGCCTGCAAGAAGTCGACCACTACTTTGACACCTTCGAGCCACTCCTCAGCCGACTCGGCTACCAGTGTACTTTCTTCCCGAAGCCGTGGTCCCCGTGTCTAGACGTGGAGCAGAACAACGGGCCGGATGGCTGCGCCTTGTTTTTCCTCAAAGACCGCTTTGAGCTCATCAACAGCGCTAACATCCGGCTAACCGCCATGAAGCTGAAGACCAACCAAGTGGCCATAGCTCAGACGCTGAAGTGCAATGAAACTGGAAGACTGTTCTGCATCGCTGTCACTCACCTGAAAGCCCGTACTGGCTGGGAGAGGTTTCGGTCCGCGCAAGGCTGCGATCTTCTCCAGAACCTGAAGAGTATTACCCAAGGCGCAAAGATCCCTCTGATCATCTGCGGAGACTTCAACGCGGAGCCAACTGAGGAAGTCTACAGAGAATTTTCCAACTCCAGCCTCAACTTAAACAGCGCGTATAAGCTGCTCAGCCCCGACGGGCAGTCAGAGCCCCCATACACCACCTGGAAGATCCGGCCCTCGGGAGAGTGCCGGCACACGCTGGATTATATCTGGTATTCCCAACATGCCTTGAATGTGAACTCGGCCCTGGGCTTGCTGACTGAAGAGCAAATTGGGCCCAACAGGCTGCCGTCATTCAATTACCCTTCCGATCACCTGTCCCTGGTGTGTGACTTTAGTTTTAATCAAGACCCCGACAGACTGCTGTAACGTGTTGGGATGCCACCTGGTATTGCAGTGTCTTAACTCACCACTGTTATTTTAGAGAAAACTTTTGAAGCTGGAAGCTATTGAAGGATGAGGAAATACTGTTGACTAAACGTTATTTCGGCCACTTGTTTGGAGCTAACACTTGCCATTCAGCGCTTGTTAATGTGGAGCCTCCGAGGGAGGAAGAAAGAGAGTCAGTGTTCTCGTCGTGGTGTTCTTGCCATGTCGGGGTTTGAAAACCAGAAGGCAAATGAGCTTTATCCTTTCACTAACCCCCGTGTTTAAGGATTTAATCCTTTAATGAATGTGGAGGCCTTAGTATTTAAATCAAAACACTTGTGTTTGTAAAACAACTTGCCCTGACAGCATGCTAATTTTATTTATTTCGTGTTAAGCTTGTGCAAGTACCAAAGGGAACAAGGCTCGACTACCCAGTGAGATTCTCTTAAATCTTTTTCTGTTGCAATACAAAGGAAATCTAAGGCAGTTCAGACATGAACAAATCTAAACTCATACTAGTGTTGTCTTCTCATTTTTACGTGACTTGAGATGACAATTTCATTAAAAGTGAATGGATAATAGCGCAGTGCGAGGAAGGCCCCCTCCAGTAAGAGCAGGTGAGGAAACAGAGGCTGTCTACCCTACATCATATATAGTAATATCCTCACTTCTCCAGATGAATGTGCATGTGTCTGTTACACGCGTACGGCCTGTAGGTATGTATACACAGTGACCGTTACCTTTGTCTCTTCTGTGCTTCCCTCTAGAGGACACACCTAACCAGGGAGTATTTCCTCCTCTGCTTCAAGTATTACTTTTCTAAATGGTTTAAATTTGTAGTCTTGTCAATCTTGCTGTTTCAGTAAAGGGCCAATCTTCATGTTTCTTTTATTTATCTTCAGAATCTAAAGCTACACTGGAACCTGTTAGAAGATAAAATTTATTTATTGAGAGAAGTTGGTGATCCTGCATCTGACTTGAAATCATACAGCAACAGTGTCCAGGAGCCTCTTTCCGTGGCCCAGGGGAACTCTGGCTACAACAGAGCTGTGTTAGTATAGTGACTCTTGTGCATGGAGTAGTGCATATTGGTACGACATAGGTATTGCATACATGGATTGTAAACGTGCCACTATGCCGGAAAATGAGGTAGGAAGAGGGGAGGGAAGAGAAACAACAGCTGGAGTTGGGCTGACAGTTAGATAATTAGGAAAAATGAGGCAGAGCAAATAAAGCAGTACTTCCATGTAAAGTAAGGCCCATAGTACTCTTAAATGTTCCAGGTGTTTATTAATAAAAGTCTTTGGAAAAAAAAGTAATGTCTCTGCTGCCATCTTTTTCCTTTCCCTATTCTAAGTAGGTGATCTCTCTCAACCAGTGACTGTTTGAGCTTCAAGTTAGTGGTGATGCTACCCATTCCAGACCTCTTTCCCCTGACCCCGCAGTCCTGATCTTACAGGTTGGCACGGCTGCTTTGCTTGCACGGCAAGTGCTCGTTCTTGAACTCGAAATGCCCAAATTCCACAGCAAGTCTGTAGGGAAGGGAGTTACCTTTAGAGATGTTAAGCTGCTCTCTCCCCTAGCTAAAGATGAAGCCTAGATTCTATATTACTGTAAATATCTTTCTTTGTGTGGAGCTACAAACCTGGCCGGAACTGCAAAGCAGGGTGCAAGTATTCCTCCCTGAGGGCTGCTAAGCATGCTTAGCAGAGCTGGCTCCTCACAACAGGCAGCTGTATTTGTCACTCTTTTAAAACGTCATTTGAAGAGCGAGAAATGCCACAGGTATGTGCTTTACACAGCCCATGAATTATTGTACTTGTGTTGCCAGTAAGGAAATAGAGTCTGGCAACTGAAAGTCCCAAATTCCCACACAAACACACTCCCTTTCAGGCAAACCAATGAAGTGCTGTGTTGCACAGCCGTAACACGCTCTGCACGTGTTCCTGACCCTTGCAGGGTCAGGATGAGGGCGATGATCTGCTTCCAAGCAGAGGAGCTGAGGCCCCGCTAACCAGCCTGGGATGCAGGACTCCTCTAGCAAGTGTGAGTTTGAAATTCCCCAGACAGAAAGGATTTTACAACCAAGGAGCCCGACTTCCTTGGTGAATGCTCTTACCAGGCAGATGTGACATTACTACTACCAGCCAGGGCCTTCTCCAGCTGACATTTCAGAAAGAGCAAATCTTTCCTGTGTCCCTGGGGGAGATTCTGGGCCAGAGATGAGACGCCCCTGACGCCCCACAGAAAGGCAGACCTCTGAGCATCCCCGCACGAGCATTTCATACCGGCCAGACTGAGACAGACAGCTTCCTTTTTTTCATGGTGCTGGCTGCCCTCAGCTGCTCTCTGAGGGGGTGAGATGCAGTGCTGCTCCTTTAGGGTTGTCTTCTCTTAGGATCTTCCCTCAAAGAGTCTTTGCAAGGAGGAGAAATAATACAATTGCCCATTAATGGAGGTATCTAGTCACCTGTAGCCAAACACTTCTAAAAGCAACACCACAAAGTGGACCTATAAGATGGTACCTTCAGTAAATCAACTCCTTGCTCACCTACCACAAAAAGTCACACCAGAAGCTGGACCCTTTTGGGTCCCTTCTGGCAGTTTCTAGAAGAAACTACACTTGTGGTAGAAAGCCATTACTTGAGAGCAAGGATAATACTGTAGTCAGAGCTGTATTTAAAAAAGAAGAACACCAAAACCAACAACAACAAAAAAAAACCCAACCACCAACAAAAAGCCCTTAATTTCCATTTTACTTTTACATAAGCAGCTCCGTTTTCCTAAGGACAGCCGGGGGTGTCCATCAACATGGTACTGTTTCACCACTGCCAGGGCACAGAGCCATAGCACCGATTATGGTTGGCTTTGTTTACCAGCAGGAGCTAAACTATCGCAGCTACAAAACTCCCACCATCACTCTCACAAGGTGATGATATTTGGTATCTGGACGATTTTTACGTGATTTTACTCTGACCCTTGCTTTCAACGCTAATTCTCCTACAAAAAAAAAAACAAACTGTGGGGAAACAGCATGATTTGTATGATATTGCCATCACTGCAGAGCTCTTCTGAAGTGGAAAGGGCTGGGATTCTTATTTCACCCTGGACACGTGACAGTAGATGTTCACTGCTTCATGTCCTTAAAGGGCAATTTTGAAGGCAGGGGAGGGTGGAATAACTGTGAAAAGGCTGGGGACTCTCCCCATCACAAAGCAATTCTTATCATCACGCTCGGAAAATCACACATCCCTGCTATAGCACAACGGTGAACCCTTTCTCCTGTATTTTAATAAAAGGTAGACAGGATGCAGAAATTTAACTGGTAACTTCCCAGTCAGCTTCACCCTTTTATTCCAGTACTTGCTATAAAACATATTTTGCAGACAGACATTTTTGAAAAACTCAAATGAAATATTGCTCCTGGTTTTTTTTATTCAGCAAGAAGCAGGCCTGCAGCACTGAAATGCTTTTGCCTGCTATAAATATCAGTACAGTAAATATTTTTCATAGAAAGAAGCAGGAAGGTTTTTCATTTTTTTTCCTATGTAGCGGTATGACTCTTACAGTAAAAATGTCTTCAAAGCTGTTCTTGTGGCTGTCTGCCTTATAAGCACACCAAGGCTAAAAAAGGCCTCAACAGATCCCTTGCTCTAATCTAGAATAAAAGCTGCATTAGTTTTAGCAGTGACGGTTTTCCCCCACCCTCGAGGTAGCTGAAGGAAGAAATGACCCACTTATTTAATTTGCTGAAAGGCAGAAGCTGTTGCAAGCTTATCTCTCTTGGAGAACAATTAGATCAGAAGTAGATAGTGTCACTTGGACCTTCTTCACTTAATAAGCTTAATACCTGCTATTTGAAATGTCTCTACGAGGCAGAAATTGAATTTAGCTTGTTCTGGCTGTGACAATCTTCACGCCTAACTGAGATCCCTGCTGCACGTGTCACGGTCAGTAAGAACTGAGACTTCAGGCACCTCTCCACTTTCTCATCAACTCTTGACTGCCTCTGGCTCACTGATCCTTCATCAGCTCGGATGTAATTCTCCGAAGTCCTGAAGTTGATGAAATCAATTAGCAGAGGATCCCAAGAGCTCAGCCTTCCCTGCAGCACGCTTTTTGCGTATCACTTGAGTTGTGTCAAAGCACAGAACACTTCACTTCAACGCTAAGCACGACAGACTTTGTCCAAGAGAGAGTAACAACAGTGGTCTCCGGGATGGGATGATGGGATTCCCCTTTCAACTTTTCTTGCCACAACCCAGAAAATTTGATATTCAGATCTTTATTCTGAGTTGCCACTCACAGTTAAATTTTTTTTTCCCTTGGATTACACAGCATTACCCTGTCCCTCCTGTAACTTACAATAGTAGTTATTTGAAAAATAAAAATGTATGTATTTACAGATGTAAAATGAGTGATACCATGGCTGTGTATGTCTCAATGCCTTCTGTATAAAGCGTGCTTGCTTCACACTAGCGTTTCATTCCAGTCACACATCTAGAAAAGTTACTACTTGCCAAGGATGAGTTAAGCCTGGACTCTTCTACATGAGCCACCAGCTTCAGATGTAAAAGCTAGTCGCGCTTTCATACGTGGACAAAATAACAGGTTTTTCAACGGGATTGCAAAAGTCAAGGAGTATAGCTAGGTACTAACTTCTTCAATGTTTTAGCGTCCCTCTGTCTGTTTCAGATGTTACAAACCTGACCAAAGCTCCCTCATCCTGAGGTCACGTCCTCCAACACCACCAGTAAAAACATTTCTTGCCCACATAGTCATTAATAATGTCAGCATAAAGCAGTAAGTTGAAGAGCAAGCTTGCACAGACCTAGAGAATGATCTGAGGCTTTCAGTTACAGGTGGGAATCTTGCCCCTCTGACTTAGCTGTAGAAATCCCCAGGAAGAGGCTGCCTCTTGTAAAAAGCATGGCTTGTTACCTAGGTTACGTACCACCTCTGAAGAACAACTGGATCTCAGAACAACTCAGAGGAACCACGCGCACACAAAGCAATGCTGAAGAGCTGTGCTTAAGCGGGTAACACTGAAATCACTACCTGACTGTGACAAAAAGCCTATCCGTACTTCTAGCTAGCAGCTAAATTAAAAAAAGTGAGGAGTACAAAGGCATATACGGGAAGGTTAACAAAAAGGGTCTTCACTGTTTGAAGCCAGGTTAAGTACCCTTTCCGCTTCAGTTACAGCGCTTCCTCATACAGATTGAGATTCTCGCAGCACTTAACGAACTTCTGATAAACGTCCTCTGGCAGCCGGTAGCATGTGTGCCGCTCGCCGGGTGGCCAGGGGAGAGAGCCAAAGGACCATCGCCAGTTCTGTGGCAAGATGCAGCACCGACAGTAACAGCAGCGACTCGGAGCATGGCTCAGAGCAT